GAAATCTCCCCTCTTCCAGTTTAAAGCCATTGCCCCGTGTCCTGTCACTACACACCCTTGTCCAAAGCCCCTCTCCAGCTTTCCTGTAGCCCCTTTAGGCAGTGGAAGGTGCTGGAAGGTCTCCCCGGAGCCTTCTCTTCTCCAGGCTGAACAGCCCCAACTCTCCCAGCCTGTCTCCAGAGCAGAGGTGCTCCAGCCCTCGCATCATCTCCGTGGCCTCCTCTGGCCCCGCTCCAGCAGCTCCATGTCCTTCTTGTGCTGGGGACCCCAGAGCTGAAGGCAGGCCTGCAGGGGGTTCTCAGGAGAGCAGAGCAGAGGGGCAGAATCCCCTCCCTCGCCCTGCTGCCCACGCTGCTCTGGATGCAGCCCAGGACACAGTTGGCTTTCTGGGCTGCCAGCGCACGGTGCCGGCTCATGGTGAGCTTCTCATCCACCAGCACCCCCAAGTCCTTCTCCTCAGGGCTGCTCTCCATCCATTCTCTGCCCAGCCTGTCCTTGTGCTTGGGATTGCACCAACCCACGTGCAGGACCTTGCCCTTGGCCTCGTTGAACTTCATGAGGTTCTCACAGGCCCACCTCTCCAGCCTGTCCAGGTCCCTCTGGATGGCATCCCTTCCCTCCAGCGTGTCCACCACACCACACAGTTGGTGTCACAGCAAATGTGCTGAGGGTGCACTCGATCCCCCTGTCCATGTCACCAACAAAGATGTTAAACAGCACTGGGCCCAGTACTGACCCCTGAGGAACACCACTCGTCACTGGCCTCCACCTGGACATTGAGCTGCCGACCACAACTCTTTGATAGTTCTGCATCAGAGGAACACAAGGTCAAATCAAAGGATGGAGCTAGGTATTCCCCAGGTGCTGCTGGATAATATGGATTAGAGACTGTTGAATGAACGCTGCAGAATTTATACAATCACTTGCACTGAATTATAGCCCAAAAAGGAGGGGAGAGGCTTAAGACCTCTCCTCTTCTGCATGTGACCCTTCCTCCAGGCTTGGACCTTCTTAGTCATGTTCTCATCAGTGAGATTAATTTGCTGCAGTGTATCATGGCTTGTAAAGCTGTAGTAGCACTTTTCTGCTTACAGAGCAGTTCAGCTGGTGCATGTGCAGCTAGCAAAACCTGCTAGGAGAAACGGACCCACCAAGGGCAAACCAGGTCAGACTTTGCGAGCAGCTATCACCAGTTATTACAGATTGTTTCCTCCTCTCTGCTTTCCAAGGACTCAGCATGTGGCTTTGGACTTTTCCAAGACCTTGCTGGCCAGGATGATTAAAACTGATGAGTATGAATGTGATCTAACTAAAAATAATTCTCTTTTCTCCTGAAGCCTGATTCTCCATGAAAATATGATCAAATGTGATTGATTTGCAGCAGCTTACTGAGTTATTTATGCCTTGAGGATTGGCTTAGGAACAAGATTGTATTTTTTTTTTAAAAATACCCACAAGGACTTCAGTTAAAACATGCCATGCAAAACTCTTTGCACTATGTTAAGACTGTGGACATGACAACTCCAACAGAGACATGGGCGACGCGAGCTCAGCTTAGAGGAACGAGCGAACTGTCCAGACTAGCTCACCGTCTCCTGCACGTAAAGGCAGACCTAAAATCAATCCTTGTAGTCAAAGGAAAACCAGCATTTCTCAAGTGTCAGCTTGCTCTTATTCCAGGAAATGAAAAGCCTGTAATAGACTTGTTATTATTATTATTGTGAAAAGCCAACAATAGAATTGTTGGCTCTAATAAGAGCTCAGCCATAAGCAAAGAAGTCTCACAGATTTAGCCCAGCGACTCCCAACGCCTGAACTTTGCACTGAAGTCAGAAGCACGGAAAATTCTGTTCCAATATTGTTTGAAACAGTGCTCAGAACAGTCAGAGCTAAGAGAAAAGACTTGTTGGTTTGAATTTCTGCATTTTGTAGAACTTCTGCATTTTTATAGGATTGATTTCATTCCTTTCCAATGTTATGAAATTTAGGCTATTTCTTTTCCTTATATTATTTGGAAAATGAAGGAAAAGAAGGCAGGAAAACTGAGTTTAGACCATGAGAGATATGAAGTAGTTTGGGAAATATTTTCTACTTTCACTCAGTTTCTGAAAATCTTAAGTAATTCTTCCAAAATTGCAGGAAGTTTATCATCCATGACATACTGGACTGGAAACATTCCAGCCTTTTTATCTGCACCACAATAATGAAACTGTCATAAAGAAGAATGAAAATTCTTTGTGAAACCAGCTTATATAGAATTAGTTTCAGTGTATCAGTTGCCTCTTGGTTAGTTACTTCTAAAAATCCCCTAAAAACGTTAAGTTGTTTGAAGATGGAAATACTGCATCAGCCTACACCATTAAAGAAACCTCCTTTATCCCATCAAGAACTGCAGCAGCAAAGAATGTTGCATCAGGTTTCCAAAGGCCATGAATTCCAGAAGATTATAGAATAATAGTTTACAAAAGAGCACGTGAGGGGCTCAATATGCATCATAGAATCATAGAATGGTTAGGGCTGGAAGGGACCTTCAAAGGTCATCTAGTCCAACCCCCCTGCAAGGAACAGGGATATCTCCAACTAGATCAGGTTGCTCAGGGCCTCGTCCAACCTGGCCTTGAACGTCTCCAGGGATGGAGCATCCACCACCTCTCTGGGCAACCTGTTCCAGTGTTCAGAACTACTTACACTTAACTCATGGCTTATATTTGACTTTTTTAGTCGTTATCATGCCATAAAATGCTGAGTGTTCCGTTCTGGCATATCACCTGGACTGGGAAACAGTTGATCTTAACAGAGATGTTTCCAGTAAACTCACCTCGGGTCAGTTCCTTACTCCTACTTGTATTTAGGCAGCGTGCAATGGCCCAAACGAGATCAGATCACTCCAGTGCTGAGCAAACCCAAAGTCATCAAGTGACGCGGTGCCAGAGGTGGCCAAGGTGATGGGTACAGCACCTGACGTGTTCTAAAGGGTTTTAACTCATCTTTAACAAAGAGATTTGTTTAAACTGCAACTTGGAAAAACAAAAGGCTCCAAAAACCTGCAAACTCACCAAGCGTGTTAGGCTGCTGCACACCAACAACCAAACATCACCTGCTGGGAAGGAATATTTGAACATGCAAAGAGCAGTTCTTTGGTGAACCTCGGCGTAGTGACAGGTCACCCAACTGTTAATTCCCACTCTGCAGAGCGGGAAGCAGCGTGGCAAGGCTGGGTGAGCTGGGACTGCTCTGCCCTTACATCGCCCTTCCTCACCGCTGCGCCTGGCAGCCTCCAGACAGCACGAGTAAGCCAGCTTTGCAAACTGATCATCTGCTAAAAATGCAAATTTGCAAGTCTTTGAGCTGTGTCTTGGGGTTAAGTTATTCAGATAATGCTTCACTTCAGAACCCAGCTGTCATCTGTAACAGCGAACATTAGATTATTTATATTTTGGATTTTATTAGTAGAGATGGGCTGAATAGTTTAAACTCCTGCTTCCCCTGTACTTGTACAACGATGCAATGCTCTCAGGATCACAACGCTACGAAGCCAAGTTCAAAATTCTAAAATTCAAGATTCTAACTTCAAGATTCTATGATTCTAAAACCCCATCGCATCCATTCACTGTGCCGGAATAAGTTTGAGGATTTTTTTTAAATTGCTCCATGCAGTATCTGTCATGAACAGATCCCAGGAAAAAGAAAATAATGAAAAAGAAAGGAAAAAAAGGGGGGTGGTGGTGTTACCTTTTAAACTTAGATGCATTGCTCTTTCCACAAGGATATTGACAGCAACTGTGTTTTCCAGAAACATCACGTCGTCTTCCTGTGGTTTGCCATTGGTGATTTCTGAACTTCTGATATCCAGTTTCTGACCCTCATTTTCAGAGATCTGTTGGCTCAGATCAGGGCGTTTCTCTGTGCCTTCATCCTCACTGTTGCTGTATTCCTCAGCACAGTGAAGTCTGCTGGGCAGAGCGGCAGAAGTGGAAGAAAGGCTGATGTGAACACGTACAGCAGCTCCTGCTAGGTCTGCAGCGTTGCACCTGAACAGTGGATAAACCCCTGCAAGAGAATTCACAACCAACCAGGTAAACAAGCCAAAGAAAAACCAGGATCCTGGAAAACAGCTGGTGCAGTTCATTACAAGTGAAGATCTCGCATCAGGCATGCAAAATGCATTTCATTTTCACTGTAGAGGTTAAAAACAGGGGAATAACGCCCTAAATTGGGCACACCTTTGTTTTCCCACTGGCAGCTCAGATGACTATTCATCACCAACTTCCTCAGAGTCTTGGGATAGTGCCTCTGAATGATTTTTCATACATATATGAAGAATACAACATATACAGAGCATAAAAATTACTTTTAACTCTTGTTCCTTCTCCCTTCCCTGAGCATACTCACAAGAAGAGCCAATGACCTGTCCTCAAATCTACCTGCAAGCCAGTGGCTGATGGATACCACGTCCATGACAGAAGCCTGAGCAACCAAATAAAGCGAAAGCTTCCACGACCTTAGACCCATAGAATCACAGAATGGTTTGGGTTGGAAGGGACCTTCAAAATCATCCAGTTCCAACCCCCCTGCCATGGGCAGGGACACCCTCCACTACACCAGGTTGCCCAAAGCCCCATCCAACCTGGCCTGGAACACTGCCAGGGATGGGGCAGCCACAGCTTCTCTGGGCAACCTGTGCCAGTGCCTCACTATCCTCAATGAAAAAAATTTCTTCCTTAGATCCCATCGAAATCTCCCCTCTTTCAGTATTGCCCCGTGTCCTGTCACTCCACACCCTTGTCCAAAGCCCCTCTCCAGCTTTCTTGTAGCTCCTTTAGGCACTGGAAGGGGCTGGAAGGTCTCCCCAGAGCCTTCTCTTCTCCAGGCTGAACAGCCCCAACTCTCTCAGCCTGTCTCCAGAGCAGAGGTGCTCCAGCCCTCCCATCATCTCCATGGCCTTCTCTGGACCTGCTCCAACAGCTCCATGTCCTTCTTGTGCTGGGGACCCCAGAGCTGAAGGCAGCACTGCAGGGGGGTCTCAGGAGAGCAGAGCAGAGGGGCAGAATCCCCTCCCTGACCTGCTGCCCACGCTGCTCTGGGTGCAGCCCAGGACACGGTTGGCTTTCTGGGCTGCCAGCACACGGTGCCGGCTCATGGTGAGCTTCTCATCCACCAACACCCCCAAGTCCTTCTCCTCAGGGCTGCTCTCCATCCATTCTCCGCCCAGCCTGTACTTGTGCTTGGAATTGCCCCGACCCACGTGCAGGACCTTGCCCTTGGCCTTGTTGAACTTCATGAGGTTCTCAGAATTACGGATTGGGCATAACCCAATTACTAATGGAATGGAAAGAAGATTACTCTTTCTTGATGTTTTAGTTTGTAACCAAACCAAAACATCAAGCAAGAGTGATGAAACACGCCCATGTTCTGTAGGAACTCACCACTAACACTCAGCGTTGTCCTTGACCTCTCTGCTAATGCTGTGAGGTCGACATAGGCAGATCCAACGAGACGATCTGTATCAAGTGGCCTTTCCACACCATTTTCTTTACCGTACGCCCACCACACCTGGACTTCTAATTTCTCCTCTCTGAAGAACCAAAGCAGTCCTTGGCTCCTTCTGAGAGTCACCTTGTTTGGTTTCTTAAAGTTCACTGTAACGTTCTTTGTGTCATCACTGAGTTTTGGCCTCCGAAGCAAAGTCCACGTGGCTTCCTGGTTATACAGCTTGTACCTGAGGTAGCAGTAAACGCTTCTGTTCAGGTGTGTCTGGCCTGCAAGCAGCACGCAGTGGACTGGCAGCCAAACTCTGGGGGTTGAGATGGTCACAGTCACTGGACCGGCACTCTGCTCCCATTCGTCGCTATCGTCCACGCTGTCTTCACGGCTCTCCTCACTGCTCCATCCCAAGAGCTTAGCAGCCTCCAAAACATGCTCCCTGTCATCCTGATGAGCAAAGGTAATGGAAAGTTCCAGTCCTCCCACAATGGCCTGCATGACGTTTGAGCAGTGTGAGGGCATTAATTCTTCAGACAGGGTGACTGGGTACCAGCCTGTAATACCTGCAGGAGAAAAGATCACCATTAGACTTATCCTACCTTTCAAAACATCAGTAAGGAATTTTCTCCTCTCTGGTCATTAGTCAAGGGCCAGTACTTGAATTGTTTCTTTCTTGTGAAAGTTTGGAATTAGTCATTTCATTTCATTTAGAAGTTTCATTTCTAACCTGAAAAAGCAGCGAATTGTCAGACCTCAGAAAACCTCAGCAGTGGTTCTGATCCTAAAGGCATTTTTCTTTCCATTCCATTAACGATACTCATTTTACAATGAAACTATATAAAATTAGGCGTTCTCATTTCTTTCCTCCTCTCTTCCCATTAAAAATAAACCCAAAATCTCATGTTGAGAATGATGAGAACTCTATGAGAACTATAAAAAAAAGGAGAACTATACTGAAATTAAAGCAGAAATAACCACAGCAATAATGAAAACATCATTATTACAAAGCATAATCATCACAGACTAACACTAGATAGAGGAGGTATTTTACATTTAGATTAAAAAAAAGTTAATCCTACTGCTTTCTAACTTATCTAGGCCTTTTCTTCCAGCTTTGACATCTGAAAAGCAACCATTAGTTCTCCACTGAACACTACAACTCTTGGACTTTCCATCTTAAGGTAGAAAACGAACAGCGCTGAATAAAATACTAAAGGAGATGTGCTGGTTTGAGCTGGGATTTCTTCAGAGTAGCTTCAGAACATTCATTCAGCTACTATACATCCTACACCCTGAAAACAGATCTTCAAACAACAAAGTTTATATGAGTTTTCTAATACAGGATTCTTAATGAAGACATCTGCAATATCTGAAAGAACTTTGGTCTTAAAAAAACCCCATAAAACCAACTCAAAAAAGAACAAAATCAGAATGAAAATGGTTTTAAGGAACTACAACGGCATTTACTCAGAATGTCAGCAGAGTAACGCTGCTGAATTACCTGATCTTCTTCTCAGCAGGTCTCTGGTTGGAATTGTGACTGTCCCAAGAAGATAATCTCTTGATGTCCGAGCTGCCAGCGTCTCGGTGGCTGGAAAAGAAATCGTTTTGTAAATACACCAAACTGCAACACAAGATTTAGAAGTGACTGGGACAGCATCTCCTTTGAAAGAAAGCTGCATTACCTCGACGGCAGATAGCTATGGCAGATAAGTGTTCAAGGCCAGGTTGGATGAGGCTTTGGGGAACCTGGTGTAATGGAAGGTGTCCCTGCCCATGGCAGGGGGTTGGAACTGGATGATCTTTGAGGTCCCTTCCAACACAACCCATTCCAAGATTCTATAAGGGGAACAGTATCTCTTGAAGTCTTCTCTGAAGGCAGTTTAGGTAATTACAACTGTAGCACCTGCACAGAACACTCACTCGTTTAAGGTAAATATTAAGAGGACCAGACCATTTTGCAACAGCATTCAGTCATTGTCATCCCTTGTCCTCCTTACCTGACTTGGTGCTCTGATGGTAGATGGAGAAGACGATATTTGCAGACTGCAAAAGCTCCCCCAGACAAGAGGCTTCTCCACTACTTTTCTGAATGATGAGGTTACATGGAAACTCTACGTGATGCTCGAACTCCGGGCAGAAAGTACAAGCCACAGCTCGTGTGTTGCGTGTCTCTGCCTCAGGTAGGAAGGAGAGGTGCACAGAGACATAAGCATTAACTCCCACACCTGCATAGTACTGGACCGAAGGGTTCTTTTGTGCCACAGCTCTTCATTTAGCATGTAAAAAGAAAACAAGACAGAGAATTACTATCATGTACAAGAAATCTAGGAACCAAGACAGTTAAAACAGAGGTTTCAAGACTTCACGGTGAAAAGATGGGACAAAACAATGAATGTTGTAAGTCAGAACAGATGTGGGTTCTGGCTGCATATTATTTCTCACCAGTTTTTTAAACCTGAATCCACTAGGAACAGACATGAAATGTTGAGAATTATATCACAAGGTCTATCACTGGTAGCTGTGCTCTTATCATTGTCAGGATCTGAGACCGAAGTGGTTGAGAAAGTACTCAGCACCTTTCAAAACATTCCATACTGTAGAAAAAGCTGTAGGATAACTTCCCTGCTCTAGAAGGAAGCAAAAGGGCCAAGCCAAATTATTTTCACAGACTGTACTGACAAGCAAAAGGAGGTGAAATTGGCAGATGGAATTATTTACAAGTAAAACAGACCCAGGTATTACTCAGGTCGTACACCTGAAAGATGAGGAGTCTGAGGTTATTCCACTTTCTCAACTTCTCCAAGCACCACACAGTAGTGATTCTCATCTTACAGAGCCTACTTGAATTGAGATGGATCAGGAGCTCAGCAGCACTGAGAAAGGGTCAGAGAGCCCTGCTCCAGAATGACAGGAGCCATCCTTCTCTTATGGAATTGACTCCCTCTCTTCCAGCCCTTTCTTTCATAATCCTTGAAAATTGCATATTGGAACTAAGTCCAGGTGAAACCACGCACTTAGAGCAGCAGCCTTCTGGTGAAACATTTGCCAGTTAGTTTATCAATGTTGCACAGTGAAATTCAAGACAACAAGTCTCAGCTAGCTTTTAAACAGCACCAGTAACACCAAGATCCAGTGCCCAAATAGGCATTGCTCTATATGCCCTCGTGAGACCTCACTTGGAGTATTGCGTCCAGTTCTGGAGTCCCCAACATAAGAAGGACATGGACCAGTTGGAGAGGGTCCAGAGGAGGGCCACGAAGATGATAAGAGGGCTGGAGCACCTTTCCTATGAGGACAGGCTGAAAGAGTTGGGGCTGTTCAGCCTGGAGAAGAGGAGGCTCCGGGGTGACCTTATAGCGGTCTTCCAGTACCTCAAGGGGGCCTACAGGAAAGATGGGGAGAGGCTGTTCAGGAGGGCCAGTTGTGATAGGACAAGGGGTAATGGTTTTAAAATAGAGGGAGGTAGATTCAGGTTGGATATTAGGAAAAAATTTTTTACCATGAGAGTTGTAGAACACTGGAACAGGTTGCCCAGAGAGGTGGTGGATGCTCCATCCCTGGAGACGTTCAAGGCCCGGTTGGATGAGGCCCTGAGCAACCTGATCTAGTTGGAGATATCCCTGTTCCTTGCAGGGGGGTTGGACTAGATGACCTTTGAAGGTCCCTTCCAGCCCTAACGATTCTATGATTCTATGATTCTATATCAGCCCATGTTTATGATTCTATGATCCCATATCAGCCTCCGGTGTAGAAAAATGTGGAAATGTAGAAAAACATGCCCTCACCATCTCGATCCTTCTGCAGAACCAGTGCTACCACACTGCACTGCAGCTCAAGGGACAAAAATAACCACTGATGTTCTTTGTAAAGTTATTTTCACTTCTGATCAGAACCCATTTTGAATCTCGGTCTCTGCAGATGGAAAGTTGGCTGGTTACAACGTGTTCTAATCTAATGTCTCAGCCTGCTGCCTTCAGATAAAGCTATTTTAAGAGAAAAATCTTCCTTTTAGAATTAGGCTTTACCTAGCTGCTGCTTGCAAACCAGCTGCTCTGTGTATGTGTACAGAAAGAGAAACAGCCTGAGCCTCAGTTATTCCTCCTGCCGTTTTCATGGATCGTTGGTATCTCACACTCACATCAAGCAAGCCTGGGTTAAATGAAAGAAAGAAAGGAAAGAAATGGTCAGATTTTTATACAGTTACATCCAATAAAATCAATACTTGGTTATACCTCTCAATACAAAACTTACTCTATCAATGCAAAAAACCAACTCCGTATGAAATCCATTGAGATTGACTGTGCAGGATACAGGAGGCACGGAAGGAAATATTAAGGACTGCATCCTGCAGCCTCACCTACTGGCAGTCACATCAGATGGTTGTAAGGGCTCCTTCTCATTGGCAAATTTATGGCACAGAAAAACTGGAAGAGGCCGTTTAACCCAGCCGCACCCTCGTGTGTGCTCACTGTGATAGTTTTAAAATACCCTACTGCAGTATTTCGGCACAGCCTTTTTACAGCACTGCAGTGACAAAATCTTCAGAGAGACAGATTTTCTGCTTCTGCACGTGGCTAACCTATAACAAAACAACTGCAGCATACTGAACTCCCTCGCCAGCTCCCGCTTATTTTTACGGTCGTTTTTTCCAAGAAGCTGCCTCAGATGTCAGTGGCCTTCCCAGAGCTGATGTTCTGATGGAGCTGCTGGAGCGGGGCCAGAGGAGGCCACGGAGATGATGCAAGGGCTGGAGCACCTCTGCTCTGGAGACAGGCTGGGAGAGTTGGGGCTGTTCAGCCTGGAGAAGAGAAGGCTCCGGGGAGACCTTCCAGCACCTCCCAGTGCCTAAAGGGGCTACAGGAAAGCTGGAGAGGGGCTTTGGACAAGGGCATGTAGTGATAGGACACGGGGCAATGGCTTTGAACTGAAAGAGGGGAGATTTCAATGGGATCTAAGGAAGAAATTTTTCCCTCTGAGGTTGGTGAGGCACTGGCACAGGTTGCCCAGAGAAGCTGTGGCTGCCCCATCCCTGGCAGTGTTCCAGGCCAGGTTGGATGGGGCTTTGGGCAACCTGGTGTAGTGGAAGGTGTCCCTGCCCATGGCAGGGGGGTTGGAACTGGATGATCTTTGAGGTCCCTTCCAACCCAACCCATTCCATGATTCTATGTTTGTATTACTTGAAAGAACCACAAGAGAACAGAAGGCTGTCTCTGCTCATACCACATACCATTAAGAGCCCTTCTTCAGATCTCCCATTCCCCACCTTACATGGGAAGCTTAACTACAGACCAGCTTATTTGGCAACGAAGCACTTCAATATGCAGGGAGGACTTTTTTAAACTTAAGTGTTTGAGGGTTGCTCACGTTTAATCACTGATTCTTCACTAGATATGGTGACAGTGAAAGCTGGGAGGAAAGCCACTCGTGGTTGATATCAGTTGCCAACACAAATACATATTTTTATTTGCCTCGGAAGCAAACACACCGACTTTGACTTTTAAACATAAAGTGAAAACCCACAAGCATTCCTTACCTGAAGACTGCAGATGAAATTCCTCCAAGGAATCAGTCCTGGGGACCAATGGCAGATTAAAAGTCTGTATCCCTATTTCTTCGCGATGCTGCATAGTCACCATGGCACACAGCCGTGACAAAGGCAAGGTCCCTTTGGCAACCATCTGGTCTCTGACGTTTGGGTAGTAATACCTGGTAAGACACAAAGAAGCAGCTTCAGTCACGCTGTTTCGATGACGACAAAACGATCAGCATCTCTCTCACGACTGCACGTAAGCCAGCTTCAGTTTGTGCGTCTTCAAACACCAGTCAGTCTCCTGACAGCTAAGGGATAAACTCAAGTAAGAGAATTTCCATGGAAAAAAAAAAAAACAAGCAGTGTGTGCTCATGTAGATAATGCTACAAATGTACTTTTGCACTAGTCCTAGCAAGTTAACTAGCAGAAACACTAAGAATTGGCATCCCAAAGGAAAACAAGAGAAGGATCCGACACCAAATATTCTCCACTCTCAATTTCCGTTAATAAATAAAAACAAAACCTGCAGAACAGATTTGTGGTACCAGTTTGTAAGTGCACAAAACGACTCTAGACTGCTTCTTACTGTGCTACTTGGCTCCAGACTCATCCTCAAGCAAATTTTGGCACCATATCTAATGAAGAGCAGGCAGACCAGGAGAAAGGCATCCACTGGGTTTTCAGTAGCAGTGAGTGAGTAACATGGTAGTACCATAGACTTGTGTTTTCCTTTCCATTTTGGGACAAATCCTGAAGATTAATTGACTGTTCGAGTCTTGAGTAGAGCACTGCCTGAACAGCAGTCCTAACACCTTGGAATATTACACCTGTTGGTTTCTACTTTTTCCCTGTACACTTCTAGGAATAATTCAAGATGCTGACAGCATCATAGCAAGAACTCTCTGATTTGGAATCTGGTGGTCAGTATCTAACCTCTTTCCTAATCACAAAGATCTGTTGGCAAGCTTTTTCCATTATAAATTACAATTGGAACTTACAAACATTTTATAGTATATTCTTTTGTAATCAGTGACTTGTATGACAGAAAAAAACCCAACAAAAACAAACGAAAACAATGAAATTATACAGCCAGGGTGCTATTAAGTAAAATGTAGATGTGTTAAGCATTTAAACACTACTTTTAGATCATTATGCTGATAACAAAGTGGAAGAAAGCAGACTAAGAGCACACACTTTTTAAAGAAGTTGTAAGAAGAAAAGAGTAATTAGCACTCTTGAAGGGAAAAAAAGGGCTCACACGTCTGAAATGCAATCTTAAACACAGATATTCATCACCAAATGTTGATGAGCTCATCATTTTTTCACTTACTATTAAACATCCATTCCAGAGCTAGAGATTTTTCACCAGATATGTGTCTATCTGTGCTGCTGCGACATCGACAAAGAAAAGGATGTTATTCTGTACCTGCACCAGACTTCAAACTGGATTCCTCCCCCAGCTGCTCCTAGTGCCATAAATGCACTGACCAGGAGCCTCTGGACTGGGACATCAGCAGGCACCAACAAAGAATGATGATGCTCGTCATTAAAGACGGGATCAGGGACGCACAAAGTGGTCGCTGTGCGGAACGGCTTTAACTTTGTGCCTACAAATCAAGCAGAGTTGGTTAAAAACGGTTGCATTTGTGAGTTTCGACCTTTTCCTACTTGCAGTCCATTGGGGGGCAGGACTCATGGACAGTAAGTTAAATCCTCCCACCAGAAGCTTCTTCTGAGTTTCACTTGACAACTCTTTTACAAGCAATTCACGCAGTCCCATGAACCTGTGAACCACAGGCTGACAACTACTGTTGAACGTGGCTGGAAGCGGACACAGTCCACAGGAGTTGTTATGGAACAACATAACTGACTCATTTTTCAGAGGAAATAAGTATTAATGATTCAAAGCACTCAAAGTCAACATTAAAGCCTTTCCTACAATTGCAATTAGTTAAATATTCCTTTATAATCCAAATTATCTAGATCAGGCAAGTCTTCTCTTGGTGCATCCATCCATGTGAAGGGGGTGGGGGGTGAAAGGTGCCCCTGCCCATGGCAGGGGGGCTGGAACTAGATGATCTTTGAGGTCCCTTCCAACCCAAACCATTCCATGAGTCTATGGAAATGAGCACCTTGAAAACCTCATGTATGTAAAGCCTTCGTTAAATTTAACCTTATAAAATCCTAGCACTCCCTGCAAATCTGTTCTTGCATCTTTGCAGGATCAGTTGGTGAACTCCCCTGGGCTCTTTTAACAGAAAGGTACCATGTGAAGAGATTCAGAACCAGGTGTCTTTTTTTTTTTCTGGGAACTTTGCCATCTGCCTCAGTCAAAGCAAGCTTTTAATGTACTGGTGTAGCCCAAGGATGGTTGCATGCAGAGCTTCTGAGGAAAGCAAGCACTGGCTGCATTATGGAAGCTCAGAGAAACACAAATCCTTTTACTCAGGCAGAGAGAACATCATTAATACTATTTAATTAAAGCAATGCTTTAAATAAGGATGTATTGTAACAGAAACTTACCACCTTCACACAATTCAGTTCCTTGCAGTGCATCACAACCAGCCTCTTGAACTGGGAAATAGTACTGCACGTAGCAGTCAGCCTCTCCCCAGACGGTGGACTGTAAGGGAGCGAGTCCTTTCACGCTCTCCACATGGATCTCAAACACATGCTCCATCAGGTCTTCTCCTTCTTGGTCTAACTGCTAATAAAACAAAGGAAATCCACATGGAAAGGACGACTCTTTAGGAAACAGCACACAAGAGGACTGGGAAGGTGAGATTCTAAGAAGCCTGAGACAGGGCACTCAGAACTACTATCTGCTATTTTCTCCCTAAAGTTCACAAAAACCTTGAAAGCAAATTTTTTGAAATACTGAGATGCAATTTTTTTTCTCTGCAAAAGCAAAAAAAACACAGCACATAAAAAGCAGGAAAGTTCCTACACATCCAACTCAAAGGTAGTGGCAGAACCTGTATGGTGCAGAACAAGGCTGTGAGAGTAAAGATTTTCTAGAATGTTAATTTTTTTTTGTAGATTGAAGCAGTGGATATGCAGGGCAGTTAAAAAGGGCAATAACACCAAGACTGGTGAGGGAAAGTGGGAAAGGAAAAAGTATAAACAATATAATTCTGCAAAGAATGTGATCATTTATAACAAAATTGGTTACAGCATCAAAAGAGCTTGAGGATCACTGGTCTGTTAGAGAACCCACAGGCAAAATCCTTTTCACGTGTCCCTAATAGCAAGAATGGGAATTTACTGAACAATACCATTGCAGGCTTTGTAGGAGGAGGGTCCAGAGAGTGGGAAGGGCGCTGTGTGACGGGAGGCACCATCCCATCTTCGTTTTTCAGCCTTTGCAGTGCCACTATTTGATCAGCCGACCCCATCGCCAGAATGACCCTCAGGCTTCCACTTCTACTGCCGGTAAAAACGTCCATCACAGGCATATAGCTGTCCACAGCAACCACGGGATAGTGAGCTTGAAGGAGCAGGTGGGAAATCTTTGGATCTCTAGAACAAATTAAAACCAGAAAAACTCAAAAAAAAACCAGCCCCAGCATGAGAATGAGCCATCTGAATATGAACACGATCACCCAAAGCTCATGATAGACGGGACTTGCAACGCAATTAGAAACCAGTCTATCTCCATTCCTCCAAAACTGGGCTCAATTACACCAGGCTTCACAAAGCACAGATCCACGAGCTGCTGAATGGAAAAGGCTCTTTTCAGCAATGACAAAGAACAGCTTTCCAGAAAATAACATGGCCTTAGCTATAAGTTATAAGAAAGAAATTCTTTACATTGAGGGTGGTGAGGTACTGGAACAGGTTGCCCAGGGAAGCTGTGGCTGCCCCATCCCTGGCAGTGTTCAAGGCCAGGTTGGATGGGGCTTTGGGCAACCTGGTGTAGTGGAAGGTGTCCCTGCCCATGGCAGGGGAGTTGGAACTGGATGATCTTTGAGGTCCCTTCCAACCCAAACCATTCTCTGATTCTATTATTCTATGATAAGTCAGCCAAGAGACCCCTGAGCGAGGTGATGAACTGGAACAAGGCTCATATTAATGTCCTGTAGTCATATTATACTTTTATGAGGCAGTTATGTGCCTTTGGGGATGAACGTGGGCAGGAAGAGGAGGAGGAACAGGGACAGTCTCTCAGAGAAATCTAAAACCCTTTAATAATACATGGAAGATACACACAAATAAACTACAGTGGATTACCAAAAAAAAAAATATACAAATGACACACTAATAATTAACAAAGTAGAGGCCAGTCAGCTCCAGCACCATCTGATTTCCACCTACAACTAGTCTGACCAAAATCAAAGGAACTAATGTTTTGCATTCGAAAGAATCTCTTCTGTCCAGTATTTCCATCAATTTAAATTGCTTTAAGTTGGTATTTTCTTGAACGAGAAGCCAAAACACTGAACCAAAAAGAACAAAGAGCACGATTCTATGATTCTATGATTCTATAATTAAACCAAGAAGTATTTAGAGATATTTTTGATACCACAAACATTATCCCGTGCTGTGCAAACTGACAGCATCCCCAGCAACGGGATCTATGCAGAGCATAATGAGGAGCAAATCACTCAATCAGTCGTAACCTTGGAATATCATCAACGGAAAGCCATGCTTCCTTTTCCTCTGCAGTCCATCACTCAATCAGTCGTAACCTTGGAATATCAACGGAAAGCCACGCTTCCTTTTCCTCTGCAGTCACTTTGATCTCCTGTAATTTCACTATTTCCCAGGACCACAGGTTAACCTGGCTCCAAGTCTTTATTTCTCATGGTCTACTTGTATTTCTGTATGAGGACAGTGTAACTTACCCACGTACTGCTCAGGGTAGGAAAAGTGCCAGAGGAAGCCTGGCAGGACAAAAATGCCCTTTGCTATAAAGTACAATTATGAACCACGCGAACCCTAGACACTATCCTTCCCTTCCTTCTCTGAGCATCACTTAGGATATTTCCCAATCCAATAAAACGTAGAACCAAGATGTTTACTTGAATGAGATGTAAAACTGATGCAGAGGAAGCTTCACTAATCCCAGCAGTCTGTCACAGGCAGGGCTTCCCATCTTGTTCCATGCTTCAATAATCATGACGTTGTTCTTGAGTCGCTCCAAGTGTTTGGAAGTCAATGAAAAAGGCATCACCTGAAAGAGTTTAATGCAGAATTAGTTCCCAGAGGACACTGGAAGCTATTTGCTAAGTACAGAGCATTCTGGTAACGCTACATTATTCCAGTTAAACTGGAATACTGCACTTTAGATATGGAAATTTAAAATTAAACGCGTACCTGCCTAACAAGTTTCAGGAAACTGGTAGGCTTGGAAAAGAACTAGTCAGGAAAATAAATGCAATTTAGATAAATTTTAAAATAAGATCATATGCTATCTTAAAACACCATTGCTTTTAACTTTGAATGTCTGGTTAGTAAATAACAGAGAAATCATTTCAGACAGGTGTTTCACATGGCTTTTGCTATGTTTTCACATTTCACTCTTTCAGCTGAAGACTAAGGAGTCCTACTTTTAACAATACCTCGTGGTTTGTGAAACAAATGCATTTGAGCATCCTGATTATTTTCCAAAGAAAAACATCCATAAAAAATTACAAACTCGTAACATTATTAAATGCCTGAAATTCTCCTGTTTCCCAGGGAAGACTCTGGCCCATACGAGGACAGTAACCCACACTTCTGTGCTGATATAACCATTAAGAAAAAAAGAACACTGAGCAATGGAATAAACAAAAAAATTCTACATCTACACATTAGGATGTCATTGACGTCTTCTTCCCAAAACAGAAGAAAGGATAAGTCAAGGTTTTTTTCAGTTTTAACCTAAACTTTTCTGACTATTTTTCTTTTGTACTTCCAAAGTCTCGTTTATTACTTGGATGATTCAAGGAACTGCATTCCAAACTGTGCAATGCACAAAACAATACTGAAAATACTTTTAATGTACTGGATGGAGCTAAGCAGAGAAGTTCCTACATATATAAAAGCAACTAATCTTTGGAATATGTTTGTCAGCGTGGAATAGAATCACAGAATGGTTTGGGTTGGAAGGGACCTCAAAGATCATCCAGTTCCAACCCCCCTGCCATGGGCAGGGACACCTTCCACTACACCAGGTTGCCCAAAGCCCCATCCAACCTGGCCTGGAACACTTCCAGGGATGGGGCAGCCACAACTTCTCTGGGAAACCTGTGCCAGTGCCTCACCACCCTCAATGTAAAAAATTTCTTCCTTATATCCAATCTAAATCTCCCCTCTTTCAGTTTAAATCCATTGCCCAATAGCACATTTAGCACATTTCAACACATGTTAAGCAGAAGACTTGTGACTTGCCTGAGAAAAATTAAAGGCAGGTTGAGTTGTGCCCCAAATGACAGCAGATCTCGTTGCCTCCTCGGTGCTGAGCAGCTTGCAGTTCAAATACACATTACAAGAACTGTGGGGCCCATCGTCTCCAGTAAGAAAATCCTTTCCATGGGGCACCATCAACAGCACATGCAGTAACAACCCACCGTCTTCAGACGCAGCCATTCGTGCCATCGAAGTACGGGCTGCAGAGGTCGGCTGCACGACATTTACACTGGTTGCTCCCAAATTCCCTGACTCCTCATAGCTGTTAAGTTTCAAGCAGCGAGGGCCTTCTGCGTTCACACTCTTGCTGCTGGGCTCCTGGAATTCCAGCCGAGGACTTCCCACAGCATGAGCCGTGCCTCGCAGCCGTGGCCGCCCGGGCAGCGGTGCGGGTGAAGTCCTTGGTGTCAGCTGCGAGCTCCACGGATACCTGCGTTGTGCAAGGCAGAGCGGGCTGATCAGAGGATGTTCTCCACGCAAAGACAAGAGACTTCCAACACGAGCTCGGGAAAACGCATGGGTCGTTGTGCTCAGGAACCGTGCCAGGTCACCGCGCAGAAGGCTTACCGTTGGGCACGCGCGCGTTGCGAGCTGCAACTGGCACTGCACGATAAACTACA